CCGGGCGCGTCCGGCTCGGGGGGGGGGGGGGGGGGGGGTTGAAATTGGAGCTTCGCCATCTCACCTAAACAAACAACCATCGGTCTGCTAACCAGATACCCGTTCTCAGCCTTCATTTATGCTGTGAGAAGGCACTTAATGGGACATTAACATGGACTTCATTAGTAGCGGATCTTACAAGAGCGATCCGAGTCCGTCATGGACCACACTGAGGCCTTCCGATAGCTAGCAACCATTTTGTAAAACGCTGGCTTATTTTCCCAACTCTGGAGAGATTAGGCTGAATTGTAAAACTGCACCGACTCCCGGTCCCTTCAGTTGAAAGTCCCTAAGTGTATTGATCTCCCATTCAACAGACCAACTATAAAACGCCACCATCTCTCGGTAGTGACCTCCGTGCCTTCCTTGCTAATGGTGGTCGGATGAATCTCCCGAGACATAAGAAAACCAGTAACCCGTAATGGTTGCGCATTACCTCCTCCCATGTTTTAGGCCAAGTCACGGGTTGCACACACTATTCTATTGTACCACTTGAAATATGACTATATACGTCCAAACGATTGAAAACACAAGAGTCTAATGCATAAGACCTTAGGTTTCTTGGTAAGTGACGAGCCAGTTCACTCAATTCGAACTGGAAGCCCGTATGTATTAGATCCTCCGTTTAGATCCTAAGGCATTCATGAAGTGACAAGAAATGAGTTTTCCAAAGTGATTGGCACCTACTCTGGCATCGGTACACATACATCCCGACCAAAAAACTGCAACCACTATAACCGTCAAAATTAACCTGGCTAGTGTGCTACATTGGAATAAGCTCATTTTACCATATTTTAATTCTTCCTTTCATAATACAGATTCGTTTAGTTGAATAACCATGGCCACACGGTAGTGCAACATGCGTGATCAACAGAACTATTACTGATGAGGAGGAAGCCAGTCAGATCAGTTTCACGTATCACGTTCTTTTCATGAAATGCTGCAGCGTTGAACGGAAGAGTACACAGAAAGACCACCACTTTCACTCGATTACTCGTGCTGCGACCTTTTGTTTGATCCTGTGGTGCGCTTATCGGTCAAAGCGTTCGTTTGGACTTCGGTCTAATAACACGTCACAAATGCGGCCGAATCTCCATAAGTGATCCAAACATTCGTGTAGCTAATTCGGGTACGCATTTGCTATGCGTGGTTTTTTTTAGGAAAATTTCGTCGTATGCTGTTTCCTGTGAAACATTAGGCATCTTCCGTGATAACTTATTTCACGCTGCTACCAAGTTGCGATAAATCTCAAACCGGTTAAGTTGGCGTCTGTTGGGTATACTACCATCTGGAAGCCGTAGAAACGCATGACCTAAGAATTCCCAATCACCAATGCAACCAGTGTTGTAGCGATGGACTCGAATTACGCATGTGATTATAACGCTTATGAACCGCAAATAAATTCACACAGACAGACTGTTCTCTTCACACGTATGAGTTGCAAAAAGTTGACTTAAGAGCTAGTCACCACCTAAGGGCAAGAATTGCTGGTCTAGAAAACCTTGTGAAAACTCACTAACGGTCAGTGAGTGCGGCCTTTTCCCTTCGCGTGAAAACAAAAGAAAATTGCGAAATACTAGTTGGTTAGTAACATTACAGAATGTAGGAATGCACGGGTACCCAGAAGGTAAGCAAACTTAGCGAAATCTAAGATATGAGAATGGTCGAGGGCATTATTTCCCCGTCTTTCGCATCAGTTCTTTGGTGTACTCTGGAGTAAAGCCAAATTAATCCTTAGCAGTGTACCGGTTAATACCGATGCTCTACGGAACAGCAACATCTTCGCCATCTTGCCATGAAACACAGCTATACCAGAAAGTGAGGTGGCTAATATGCTGAAATCGAGTGACAGTGATGGAAGATGACATTATGGCATATGTGCGGTAAAGTAGGCTGATGGCATCCAACGGGTGCCCATAAGCAATCTTACATCCTAGGGTTTAAGTCGGAATCAGCTACTCAGACGTAGCAACACATGCGGCTCCACATTGATCGTTGGACTTGAGTTCCACTGTTAACAGACAAATCCGCCTAGGAGTCTAGTCAACCTTCACTATCAAAACGTCGAGTAGCACCGCATATCTGACCCTCAAACTGCAAGGTGAAACAGTCCTGACAAATGGATTTAGAGTGAAAGATGTCATTTACCTGATACAAATAACATCATCAGTAGACAGCAGAGCCGGAAAGTGAGGTGCAACAAAGGCAAGAGGGATGGGAAAACCTGGGGAAACGTGAAACAATACTTGTAGGTGTCCCGAAAGTCTACTTACATAAAGCATTAGCTGCTCCTCTCTTCACCAGGGAGCTTTTTATCAGCGACAACAAGGCTAATCTGTTATAACCCAGAAGGTAAACAAGCTTAGCGAAATCTAAGATATCAAAATTGTCGAGGGCGTTAATCCCCCGTCTTTCACATCAGTTCTTTGGTGCACTCTGGAGTAAAGCCAAATTAATCCGTAGCAGTGTACCGGTTAATACCGATGCTCTACGGAACAGCAACATCTTCGCCATCTTGCCATGAAACACAGCTATACCAGAAAGTGAGGTTGCCAATATGCTGAAATCGAGTGACAGTGGTGAAAGATAACATTATGGCATATGTGCGGTAAAGTGGGCTGATGGCATCCAACGGGTGCCCATAAGCAATCTTACATCCTAGGGTTTAAGTCGGAATCAGCTACTCAGACGTAGCAACACATGCGGCTCCACATTGATCGTTGGACTTGAGTTCCACTGTTAACAGACAAATCCGCCTAGGAGTCTAGTCAACCTTCACTATCAAAACGTCGAGTAGCACCGCATATCTGACCCTCAAACTGCAAGGTGAAACAGTCCTGACAAATGGATTTAGAGTGAAAGATGTCATTTACCTGATACAAATAACATCATCAGTAGACAGCAGAGCCGGGAAGTGAGGTGCAACAAAGGCAAAAGGGATGGGAAAACCTGGGAAAACGTGAAACAATACTTGTAGGTGTCCCGAAAGTCTACTTACATAAAGCATTAGCTGCTCCTGTCTTCACCAGGGAGCTTTTTATCGGCGACAACAAGGCTAATCTGTTAGTTTCAGTGCATGGTTACCTCCATTTATTTTTTGCCTATCATCGGACGACAAACGACTGACACCACCGTGCCTTAAAACGCTGCCAACTCACCCGAAAATCGTCACCAGCGCCAGTTGTGACCTTATCGGTTCCGAAAGCGATCTCTTCACCCACACGACCGCCCATTAGGACATCGAGCTGAGCCAAAAGTTGGGATCTAGTCCAAAAGCTCAGATCTTTGTCTTGAAGGAAGCTGGTGTGGCCACCAGCCTCGCCTCGGGGAATTATGGTCACCTAAACATAGGGGTGATAAAGATAAAGTAACACGATTGAGAAAGAGCCAGACATTGCACCGTTTGCACACGATGTGTCGTACACCAAATATATCCAGTCCCGAAAATCTGCACAAAACTGTTCATTTCACGGGGACCGAGTGGTCACGAGCGTAGAGTCAAAATCGCAAATCAGTCATCCTATGCTATAAACCTGAGAAGCATTGCAAGAAAGCAACAACAGTGGAGGCTGATTGACTAGATGTTTAACTGTTGGATATGTCCAGTCATCCTGAACAGTCATGGAGATATAAAATCCCATGGAGATGTGAAGCGGATGGAAAGGAATTGCCGACACAGAACGATGCGTCATCGGTGAGCATCAGCCTTGCAGTTCGTTTGGGCTCATCAATACCAATTGGGTGATACTCAAAGCTTAGATCTGTTGTATTCAGCGCAAGAGGGGAGAACAACCGAATCCTCGATATTAATGAAAATCGTTGAATTCAATGACAATTGAATTGGATGAGTGACAAACCTAAGTTGGTCAGTCCTCACAACCAACCTCATAAACCAACAGCAACTTTGTCCTCGAATAAAAACGTCCGAGAAATAGCCGCCGGGCCAACTGTTACAACTCAAAGCAAATAGCCTAAAGTTCTCTTCAAATAATACGAAAAACACAGGTAGTTCATTAAAACCAGTCATCATCATCATCAACGACAGTATGACATCAGTACTCAACACCGATGCTTCACTGCCGTACAACCATGACTTATTTGAAAGCCTTATTGTAAAGAAAAGAATAAAGGTGGAT